TTTAGATCTCAATGCAAAAGTAGCCATAGTTGCCTAAAATTTGAATGATTTTTAGTATAAAACAAATTTAATTGGCTCATTGTTTTATTAATTTTTAGTTACTTCAAAAAACTTTGGATAATATTATTTAAAGATTGATTCAGTTCAATATCAAAGAAATGTTATAAAGAATATTACAGGCATGTTAACCTTTTATAAAAGTAAATGAATTAATAACTTGCATAAATTTTTAAACAATTAAGTGATAGAAATAATTATATCCCTCAATATTTTTTTTGGTAGAAAAAATTATATTTAAAATTATAAAAAATAAATAAATTGATTATTAAAAATAATTATTAATTTTTGAGGCTTGATTACTACAAAGAATATAAATGGCATGATAACGAAAAAAAATATAAATATTTAACTTTTTTATGTATAAAAATTTAATCATATAGATTAAGTAATTATCTTATTAAAGACCATGCTTGTTTGGCAATGCATATAGTTTTTATAGCTAAATTATTTAAGATAGTTATTGCCAATTATTAAATGCCAATTCAAAAAATATCTATTTTTTAAGATTTTTGTATATTGCATCAGCCATTCCAAAGGACATATTTTGAAAAATTATAAGAATTTATATATTTTATACAAAATAAAAATAATTTAAAATACTTGCATATCTATTCTCATATTTTCTTTAATTATTTAAAAAAAAATACTAAGAATTATCTTACATTCATAACATTTTTATTTTATATATGATATTATAATTTTATATATTTCATAATATTTTAATAATCACTTTAGAAGCCAATTTGTTAACTATAAAAGAATTATCATGTATAATTGGCCTTATATTTTTTATTAATTTAAATTAATCAATATTTTTAATAAATTGTATAAAATGAAGGACAAATACTTTAAAAAAATTGGATAAATTTTATTTATTTATTTATTTATTTATTTATTTATTTATTTATTTATTTATTTATCTACTTAATTTTTTAAACAATGATAATACACTATCAGAAGATCCAATTGCAAAAAAAAACTTTATTATCAAATCAAACCCATTGAAATGTTATAATCTCTGCAAAGTCTTATATGTCTCTTTAGAACTATCAATAAAAAAAATGGTTGGCTTTCATATATTTTATGGCTTAACTATTATAACTTATACAATATTTAATTATTTACTACTTAAAATTTCAAAATTCTTAAAAAAAAAAAATTGTTTATACATCAATATTTTTCTTTTAAAATATTATTTTTATATGATTAATATAAAAATTATTTAAATCCTTTGAAAGCATTAATAAGAAATGACTATCAATACGTTCATCAATTCCTTTAAATCTAATAATATAAAATATTATAAAATATATATACATATATAATGGAATTAAAAATACCATATTTTATTATATTTTTTAGATATTATATATTTTATTATTTAAAGATCAATTGACAAAATTCCATTGATGTAATCACAAAAGAACTTTGTTATTATAAACTAATTATATACTTTGTAGCATTTTTATTTTTAAATAATTCTATTACTATTCTTCATTGGTTTTATAAGATCTATAGGCTAGACTTACAACTTTGAATATATCATAAATAAAAACTATAAATTTCTCGATGTGAGTTGATTTACTTCTCAACTATCAAAAATGTATTAAAAATAACTTTTGACAACCAAAAAAGTGACAAAATAAAGATGCTTCATTGCACTTCTTTATTTCATGATCCATATTTTATATACTTTGTTTTAAGTAAACTAATTTCAAAAAACTATGTTTAATTTGAATAAATCTGAGCATCAAAATACTATCTCAAATCAACCAATTGATAAAAATATATATTATTGACTTAAATTCAAAATACCTCTAAGATTTGGAATGTTATTGAAAATAAACACTTACCACTGATTTAATGTAAAGACAGGCATTTGATTGTAATTTTTTTAAACCATTATTATTTCTGAATTTTAAATAAAATATATATTAACATATCTACATAGTTATAAAATCATGAAAAACTACTGATTTACTTTATAAAATCTAAATTTAAATTAATTGTTTTAATCTAATAACGAAAAATGTACTTTTTTTTTTGTATGGGAGATATAATTTTAAACATGAATGTTGAAGACCACAAAGTCTATGTTAAAAATCTTCACTCACATTACTTGCATATTTAGTACAATTTAAAACTTAAATTTTGATATTGATACATCTATTATAAATTATTATAAAATTATTTTAAATTTAGCTGCATTCAAATATTTTTAAGTAATTAATACTCACATAACTTTGTTTAATTATTAAAAACTAAATATATTATTAAAGGCACATTAAAATAAACATCACTGTAGAGCATCATTTTAAGTAATATAAGCTAAATCATCTACCAATACAATACTAAAGTAGCTATTTTTAATATTGATTTAAAAAATTCCTATTCTAACATCATACTATATTATTATTTCATAATATTCTATGATATATATTTAATTTATTCATTTTTTATATTAAAAAACTTCTAAAATATTTTAAGTTATAAAAATGTCTTATTTATAATAAAGTCAAATTGCATCATATATAAATTGGTGCACCAAATTATTTACATCTTTTTTTATTTTTATACCTTTTTAATCTAAATTATGTTTATACAAAGAAGTATAAATAATAATTCTTGGTGTTTGTCTTTTTATTTTAATTCCTATTTAATATATATATTAGATTATTTTTAGTGATTCTTTCCATCAACAATTAATAATCTATTAAATCAACATGAAGTGTAAGTCTATTTATTGTATCTTATGTAATTTTTTGGCGTACTTGAAGATATTTATTTTCGAAAATTAAGTCAAAATTTATGATTAAAAAAAAAAAAAAAAAAAAAAAAAAAAAAAATGTAAAGAATAATTAATTTGAAAAATCCTATATATTTTTATTAAAATTATCTCTTAAATTTTATATTCTATGTAATATAGAAAGTTTCATAAGTTGATTAAAAGATTTTCCTATATAATCAATCTATTTTTTGTTAATAATTCTTAAGACTAGTTAATTCTATTTACTGTATTATTTATTTATGACACAATTTATAATTTTATATAAGATAAATTTAAAATAACAATTTTAATTTTAAAAATAAAATAAGATTGGATTTAAGAAATTAATTGGAATTTGAAAGATTGTAGATAAAGATATGCAATTTTCAAAATTAAAAATATCAACTGCAATTTATAGATATACATACATATACATATATGTATTATATTTTTTTATATAATAGACTAAAATATATATTCTACTTGTATTTACAATCCAAGTGATAAAAAGATCGTTTATGATTGATAAAATAATTATTTTAGTATATTCAAACTACAACTAAATTAAATTAAATGCAATCTTTGTAGAAATTGTAAAAACAATTGTAAATTTAGAATAACTAGTTAAATAAAATTAACTATAAATACAACATAATAGCATTAAAAATACAATTATAATCTATAATACTATTATTAATATAAATTGAATTAAATAACCAATTTTTTCAATTTAATATCTTATATAGTAAAGTTTTTAATATCTTTGAATTATTATAATAAGTTAATCTAAAATTAAAATAAAAGAAATTAAACTATGTTATTTTATTCTTTTAAAGAATAGATAAGATAATTTATAGGTTTTATAGACTTTAGACTAAATTAGTAATATTATATATATATATATATATATATATATATATATATATTCTTCTCGTAAGCTTTTGAAACTTTTAGTATTTAAAATTGTTCTTTAAAAAGTTTTTCAACATCAAGACTTAATTCTAAAAAAACACGTTTTAAATATATTGTCTAGATGAAACAATCTAAATTCATAGCCATTATTTTATTAATTGCCATTAAAACTCAAACATATTTTATTTTATTTATAACATCAATTTAAATATAAATAAAGGCTTATATTTATAAATGATTTATCTAGTACTTACAAAGTAATCTACACATGTTCAGATGTATCTTACTTAATTTATAACCTTGGTGGATGAAAAAGTATATGAATTTTGCAAAAAATATTAATTGAGGGATATAAATTTATAAATTAGGAATGAACTCTATTCTATCAAATATTATCATACAAGCAGGAAATATCAGTTAAGAGATATAAAATGACCAAGGCACACTTGTACTACATTTTAAATATTTCATAATCAGGTAAATTCAAATAGTTACACAAGACATGATCAAATATTTCAAGCTTTTAATGGACATCTGATATTTGAGATTAAAAATATTTCTTACAAAAAATATATAATTTACATGTTTTCAATAGTTATAATGCAAAGGTAAACTTAAAAAACATATGAAATTACCTTTAAATGTTTTGGCAGTATATTTTTAAGAAGTATTAAAACATACTTATCTTGCATTGCACTTTTTAATAAGTATTATACTATTTTCACATTCCAACGTGTTCAAAACTCATCCCACATGACTTTACTTTGTTAAATTCCATATTTAGTATATAATATAGCTGGTTGGTTCTCTAACCTTTCGGAACGCCAGCATCAACATTCTCAGAAGCCATTTGTGTAATTAGTTAAAGAGTACTTGCATCCAAAGCAAGAGATTAACATGAGCGTTACGACCACTGATGAATAAATGTAGAATGATTCAAAAGAACTCACTTCGCACGAAGTTGCGATTACCTCAACTGCAAGGCAACCGCAAAAGTTTGAGCAAATCCAAACAGACTTCTGCAGAATGAATTGGTTGACCACTATTGCCTTGCACATGGAGCTGAAAGTGGCAGGTTATAAAGTGCGGCATGTACTAAAGTTACAGAAGCTTGAGGGCCAAGGCAATAAAAAGTCCAAGACCAGTGAGAAGAAATACGGACCGTGGAAGATGATGGCAGATATTATTTAGGTCAAAAACAGTTGACGGTTGGAAGGACGTGCTTGAATCGAAACAAATGTGTGACACCAAAAGTTTCGGATAATTGAAGGTTATATACACATATATTTTGACAATAGACCACCAACTGGTTGGTGAGGTGACTTTATTTATTGAACACGTGTATGTAGCAGCCGTCAGCTGATAACCATGAAAAGTGAGGCAAAATTAAATCTTACCAGCAAGTTGTCATGTGATTGAGTCTTATTGGTAAAAAGAGGATGGTAGGACAGTCCTGGAATGAGCACCTCCGTCGGCCTGTAGAAAGACGACGTGATAGAGTGAATATTTACATCAGTAAACCTGTACAACACTGAACAAATAGACATAGCATTCATCAGAAACAAAACCGTTAATTTATTTTACTCTCAGAGATTAAAACTAACATGAAAATGCATCTAGGGACAATTGATCAGAATGCCTTCATAACAGATCTCGTTGTTGGTATTGTCCCAGTGATCCGTATCAGCTGGTGGATAGTGAAAATAACACCAACAGCCTTCCACAAAGAATTTGCACATGTACCAGCAATAGCACCCATAAACCATCAGCTAAATGAATCCCATATCAGCATTACGAATCCATGGAACAGACAACAGACGGTTAAAGAAAATTTTACTACGGCTTTTTTGTGATGTAACTATATGGCAGCTTCTTATACAGCATGCAGGAAGTTCACCAGCCCTGAGAAAGGGTACGCTGATTCCACTGGCATGACTTGTCTATAAGGGCTTTGTCTAATCTGATGAGGATTTCGCTGTCGTTCGCACTTCCTCCCCTTGCACACAATTCCAATAGCCAAGCAAGTTTCTCTGACGTTGGTTATTAACACTAGGTCATACACCCAAAGAAGTGAAATCTTCCTTTGACGTCACAAAGCGAAATTTACGGTTCACAATGAACTGCTAATGATATTGCAAGCTGGTAAAGCCTGATTACCAGCTTGCACCCATGATTGCAAACAAACTGAACAGAGTAGGTTGAAAGACTTTTGTATTTACCCTCCTCAACCATCCCAAAGAGGTCCTAAGTTGCTTACACTAAGACTGATCTATTAGCCATATCCAATCAACAAGATGGTTTTTCGGCTGCTAAGGAGGGCGCAGATTTGAAATCTGTAAATCTACCACAGACACTTAAATTGGTAGGTTAACTAGGCTCTCAAAAGGAGGCTTGTAGCTAGTAAAACTCCATGTCCTGGTCAACAGAACATAATTTAATATTGAACCCTCCATACTCGTTTTTTGGTTCAGAACTCAATATATTCCAACTATCCTCCAATAATAAGGATAGGCAGAGCATCCATCCGAACCGGAACGGTGAAATAAACGTAGGCTTGTGGAAGACTCACATCCTGATTCCAATGAAAATGGCCAAAGACACAAGATGGAGCTTAAACCAGACCATTGGTGCCTGTTTGGTAAAGGTAATGGTAATTTTGCAGCAGACGATGTGGACCTTCAACTGTTTAAGGCTTTAGTATCTTTCAAAAAGTCGTGACATCAAAGAGTGCATTATCATGCAATGAAGATTACCTGCTTAGCATATCGACCGCTTGGAAACCCTTCTGCCAAGTCATTTCATCAATTCATTGGCCGTTGACTGCCCAGTTCACCTTCTTGTTTTTGCACTGAGAATTCAACACTGCTGTGATGCCCTGCAAGTAAGAAATAAATTAGACAAGACCACATCAAATAGGATGAAAAAGCCCACATCAGAATAGTGCATTCCTCAACAATTTGCACGAGCCAACATGAGTAAAATCTGTCAACTACAAAAACTCCACGTACAAAAACATGATTCTTTTTAGGTCCTGCATACACATACGTCACACAAGCAATTGAAAGCAAATTCGAAAAGAAACTCTACCAGCAACGTCACCGACAATGAGAACTCCTCACAGTCAAATCGACAATGTTTTACGACATTCTAATTAGAGGCCCAAAAGTAAAGTTAGAAGGAAATCCAAGTGTGATGGTAATCACTTTATAAAAGCAATTGCGACAGTTAGGGCTGTAGGGGAAATCATTCCTAGTATGGGCAAGGGCAACAAGATACGCAATATTACTGAAACCACTGGAACAATTGTATCTCAGCATTGTCACCCTCGTCTACGTAGCTAGCAGGCCCTACTACTTCAAATTCATCTTCTGCTCCTGAAGTAACCCGAAGGCTGCATCGAGTAAGTTCACATAAAAGCCCAGACCAAATTCGTCAATCCTTTGGGCATCATAATCTTCGAACTAACTGTAAGGAATCCAACCATTCCTCACTGATACAGAAGTACAAGGATGTGCCCACTCTGCTTCAGTATACCTCTCCACGTTACCCTAAAAACAGCCATCCAAGAAGGGCAAATCATATACACTCTTCCACATCCAAATCATCGAAACGCTAACCATCAAGACGAACAGCATTCCCTCAAACATAACTGCACTGATAACCCATCTCTCAAAACTCTAAATTGCCACAACGGAAGGCGCACAGGTCGCTCAATCTGAAGCAGGTTGTTTCATTAGCATCAAAAACTTTAACGATGGCTTCGAAAAGCAAGACAAAATTTGAAAACATATATATACACACACACACACACACCAATTCTTACTCTCGGTGGTAAAAGTATGTGAAAAACTCGGCCATCCACGCGGAATTGCAAGAAGAAAGGATAAAAGCTCCACACCTACACGTTTGTACCCCAAGTGCCGCCTCACAAAAAACGAGCCAACGAGCGTCGGCGAACACAGAATGTCAACACGCTTGTTGATAGGTAACCATGGACTCACTCACTCACTCACTCACAACTTGAACAAACAACTTGAAATTCTTCTCCACAACCACCTGTTACGACAGAATTCGAGCCCCCTACAACAAAACAAACACTGTCACCGCGCAGCTCGTGACCCATAGATCCTCCTGCGTCGTCGTCGTCGTCGTCTTCATCATCGACACCACCAGAGCCTCCAACTCAGCCTCGAAATCTGTTTCGATCATCGCCATCGCCATCGCCATTGCCCTCCGTCGCCAAAGCTCGCAATCTGCCATTGTCCTTAAAAATTGTGCCAAATCTTCGTCGCCATTTTGTCTTGTCGTCGTCGCACCAGATTGTCGTCAGTCCAAAAACTTATCGTCCTCATCGTCGGACGCAATTGCTATCGTCTGAACGAACCATCATCGTCGTCACTAATTGTGGTGGTGGTCGTCGTCATCATCGTTGTGACAACGACGATAAAGGCTTTATAGTGCAGCGACGAAGGAATGTGAGTGAGCTCAACCTTGGAGGACGTGTTTAAAAGAGAGGGGAATGTTCATTTTAGATTTTATTCTTACAGAAAAAGTATAATAATATTAAGTTGGATAGAATTGCATTAAGATTTCTCAGATTCATGTATGATGCTGATCAACTAGAATGAGAGGGACTTTATACTTGGAAGACCATTCATTCAATGCAATGCAATGCAATGCAAAAACATTGGACCCACCCAAAGAGGTGGTTTTAGTTTAAAATAAATAACAAAGAAATGCTAAAAATTGCTTAAAAGAAGCGATTCAAAAATGATTTGGTCCTTTTCATGGCTTTTAAAAGCCAAGGCTTCTAAAAGAAAAGAAGGGTTTTTTGTTTTTTTTTTGTTTTTGTTTTTTTTGTTTTTTTTGTTTTTTTTACCAACTACATATCTTTAGTACTAAGAATTTTGAACCATAGTCTTTTAAACTTTGTGGTTAACCATATCATATAATTCCACTATTCTATTTATGTCATATGAAAGAAAAGAAAAGAAAATAAATAATAAAAAATGTGAGGCTATTGATTTCATCTAATCGAAAGAATTGAAAATTGTTGCAGCTCACCTTTTTTGACGAATGTTAAGACTTATTTTAAATGGCCACCATTTTTATTGTGGCATGTTATTTCTTATCTATAGATATAAGTACAATGAAGTTTGTTTTGAATTTTTTATTAATAAAGTCTACATTTTCTAAAAAAATTTCATCCAAATCTCACAAGCCTTACGCAATGCTATTAATTTCTAATCATTTTGTTGATTGCAGAAATACTTCATGAAAGCCAATTCATATAATTTAACAAATGTTTCTTCATAGAGTTGTTGACAAAAAGTACCAATACATACAAATACAAATATATATATATATATATATATATATAGTAGATCAAGAATTATGTGTAATCTTTGCTTTATGAATTTTTAATATATATAGTTTATAGAGTATGTTTTCTAAATGTCTATTTTTGATTTGTAAAGCACATGTGATGCAAATATAATCTTTCCGAAATTATTGTTAAAATTTGAGGACTGCAACATATAATATGGTTGATTATTTATTAAATAGTGATACATCATGACTTCTTTTTTAATTTGATTTTTCACATAATATATATCTCTCTATACTCTCGCTATCTCAACCATGGCAGAGTTATTAGTTACTAGAAATCAGAAATGGGTCGATACAATGTTTTTTTTTTTTTTCACTGCATGTATAATTGTAATTTTATTGTTCAATAGCACTTAACTTTGATTTTCTTTAACATTAGTCTTCTTATAAATATCATCAAAATCACCTCGATTTTTTTATAACAAAATTTATAAAAGCATAAAAAGAGATTATAAAAGATCTAATGTGAACTTTTTTAGTTCAAAACATCATATCATATTGAATATGTATGTTTAAACACAAAAATTGCAAAGAAGACTTTAGAAAGAAAATAAAAAATACGAAAAACTTAAAATAATGTTGTACTTGGTTTTTAAACTTTCCATGCTAATTTGTATTGTTCAAATGCATGGATAGTTTTTAAAGAAATTCTCATACTACTTATAAGTTTCCTATTAATTATTTGAAAAATGAATAGAAATTTTGATTATGGATATTAATTGTAAGTTCCTGGAACTTGTAATTCAAACTTTTTTATTTCTATAATTAAAATCTTACAAGTATAATATTCTATTATATGTGTTTATGAAACATATTGGCTAAGGTACTCGAAGCTTGATAATCAAGCTTCTAAATTCTTCTTGACTATGCATTAAAAAAAATATTAAAGCAAAACCTTACTTTAAGAATGTTTAGTTCAAATTATAAGGCACATAATTACAATTATTTGAGGTGATTTTGTATATAATCCACACAAAGTACCCTTAAATCATCAAAACAATCGTAAAAACATATGTGGGTCCCTGAGACAATTTTATTATAAAATTCGACACAACTTCAAGCTATGCAATTGAGAAAAACTCAAATTAACTCGCTATTTTCACAAGTTGACATGGATTCAAAAGGATTTACATTTAAATCACAAATGTTTAAATACCACAATGGCTTCCTACAGTGAGGTACTTATAAAGTATACTTTTATTTTCCTCCCCCTGCCCCTCGTCACGTCAGCAGGCCAACATCACCAAAAGGCGCGCGCATATTCATGAGAGAATTTTATAGGCGGGGGATATGTGGAAAAGAGGGAAAAGCGCGCGGAAGTTTCCCGCCTCCCCTGGCTGGGTATATGGTATGACGAAGGAACGAGCTAGGAAGTTTTCCTGTGGCGGGCGGAATCCCAAGCTGCCTTGGAGTGCAAGGCAATTGGCGGATCCTTTTCCGTGGCCGTGGACGGGTTTCCGTGACCGTGACCTTCACAGCGTGTGCTCGACAGATTGTAGTAAGGTTGAGAATGCGTTCTGCTGAAACTGAAGCGGCACGGCAAATGTTCGGTTCAGATCCTTGCGCTCCACTTTGCTGTTGCCACACAAATTTCTCGTATTAATGTCTCGTTCTCTCGATGAGTATGACTTGCCCATGAATGCACTTCTCTGTATGTCGTGTCTATAAATCGATTGATTGAGAACAACATTTTGAGTTTCTGTGGGATTGTGTGAAGCACTGAAATAGTGGAAGCATTTTGCGAATCTCTCTTGGTGATGAGTTTTCTCGGTGTTAGAGTCAGGGTGCGCGATTAATGCGTTGTGAATTTGAGCTGAAGGACGGGCCTCCAATTTTGGTCGAGAGAGAGGGGCGTCGTGTTGGGGGTGTCGGTGAGAGAAGTCACAGAGTTTGGGTCGTGGGTGGAGAATGGATGGCGTCGGAAATGGAAATTGCCGACATGAGGATGAAACTGTTGGTTCGACTTGTTCTTCCGTTGTACCTCCTCTGTTTGGTTGTGAATTGGCAGGGAAGCGTAAATGGAGAAATTGTTGGAGTGTTGCTGTTCCAGGTCGGAATGAGTGCAGTGTTGATCGTTCTGGCGGAGGCGCTAGGGTCTGGAGGATCGGCAAACGCCCAAGGACGAAGGATGGTGCAGGGACACGCTTTGAGTCTGGTTTTAGGGCAACAAACTGTCTGCACGGCAGGATTGTCCAGGCAGTTCATCGAACCGGTGAATTGGGGACAGGGTGGACTCACTTTGATGCGATACTCGAGGATTTGGAACTTGGGGGCACTGTGCGAGATGATCGCGCAGAACGAGAGGAGATGGAGAGCAGTGGCGAGCCTGTGCAGTTCATGTACTTTGAGAAAGGAAATTGGGTGGAGTTTTCTGCGGAAGCAAATGCCGCTGCGTGGAATTCGTTTCAGGCAGGACATTCAACGTGTGAAATCACTGTACAAAACCGCGTTTATATGCTGAATTTTCTAGAGATGGTGCAGGAGAACAAACGAACAGGTTACATTCGGTCGTTAGCATGGATTAACGATGATTGGGTGATTAAGCTCCCTGCAAATCCTACTGCTGGTCCCTGCGGATCAAGAGAGGAACCGGGTGTTTCGAGATGTGACAATCAGGTGAATCGATATCATGGAAAGTGGCGAGACGGTGCTGCGGACTCGCTTTCAAGTTTAATGTTAGAGACAAATGGGGGTCTGGGTTGTGAATCGGTTCCATTGTGGACTAGAACTGACCACGCTCCTCCTGCACTTTCAGTGGACGACACTTCACGTGATTCTAATCACGCCTTTAGTGATGATGACCTTACCCAGCATAGGTTAGGAGGTCTCGTTAGCTCAAATTGGGAAGCGGATCCGATGGATTCAAAGTTTTTTGTGAAAGGAGTGGGATTGATTGGATTGGGAATGATAGGCAAGCCTCCGGATGTTGAAAATACGTCTGGCTTTTCATCACAGAGGCTTGTTCCATTGAAAAAGGGAGACAGTGAATATGAGATCGTGGAAAAAAAATTTATGCATGGAATCGGAAGGGTTGCTAGTGATACGATAATCACTGGAATTCATCGTGACACAAGTGCGGGAGCTGCGGCACGACAGGAAGCGTTTGTAAGACAGACAGCATTGGTTGAAAAGACTCGTGGGAATGCAAATTTGCGGTTCGGATGGCATGGAACTTCTAAGAAGGCAGTGGAAGGGATTTTTCTTCATGGTTTCGGACAGCCAAAGACATCAAAGAACGGTTCTACATATGGTGTTGGTGTTTACCTTGCCGTAGAGAATCAGGCGTTCGTTAGGTCAGCACACCATTAAACGATTCGTAATGATAAGCAGGTCGATATCCATATTAGGAAAGGGAATTAGAACTAGTTGAGGTCTTTCCTTCGAAATGGTTTGGAACGCCTGTGAGAATTTATTGTCACGAAAAGCGTAGTGTAGTTTTCCTTTGGGCCACTTATTGAATGTTGTTTATATGTGTTGCAGTGCGTTATATGCAGATAACGACGAGAATGGGGAGCAGCACGTCGTGTTATGTCAAGTAATTGCAGGGGCTTCCGAAGTCGTCAAGCCTGGATCTGAACAATTTCACCCGAGTACCGAGCATTTTGACACGGGAGTAGATGACATCAACTCGCCGAAGAGGCTGATTGTTTGGTCTACTCATATGAATACTCATATATTGCCTCTCTATGTGGTCAGTTTCAAGTTGCCGCCAAAATGGCATCGAATGATCGCGGGATTATGTGGCAAGCAGAAGGGTTCTTCGACGGCATATCACCAGCTCCCCGCAAAGCGTTCCTTCACTATTAAAAAGGTCTGTCTGAATTAAGCGTTGATTTCTGGATTCGTAATCCTTGCACTAGGCCTGCTAAGCTTGGATAGAACAGCTGTCGTTTTGTTTTGAAGCATATGCTGCATGTAGATTTTGTTTTCCTGTCCTTGCTGCCCCGTGTCTCGTGTTAAGATGGCTTCAATCCTATCACGGGAGCTTGTCTTGAGGACTACGTTCTATATATTGTCTTTTTTTTCTTCTTTCATTTGTTTGTTTTTGTTTGTTTGTTTTTGTTTTGTTTTTGAGGTTTTCTTGCACTGATTAATCTGTACGCTGCAGGCATGTGGAGTGGTTGAGGCTCTGCACAACAAAACATATGCATGTATGAATCCTGGGCAGGGTCCAAAATCAGCCTTCATTCGCTTTCCTCTTCTGCTTCCCCTTCTTCAACTGTTTCTAACTTCAGAGCAACGTCTTGAACTGAAGAATTGTCACGCCAAATTTGAGGTAATAACTTTGTGTTCAATTCGAGTACGAATCAACGTTCAGTCCAATTTGTGCGTGTAACCTATCGGGTCGCGTTTTTTTTAATAAGAATTACTTCTCATGTGTTTTTGTGGCGCTTTTGCAGGCCGGTGAAATGTCTCGCGAAATGCTTGTTAAGGAGATACAGAAGATGGTAGGGAGGGACCGCCTAATTCACGCAATACAAATGTGCCGAGGATTTCAGGGAGGCCAAGCGACCTCGGGTGTCAACGCCCAATGAGGGATTCATTGGGAGGCAAGCTTTAAACTGAAGGTCTTTTTGGAATGGATTCAGCTATAGAGCCGATGATTTTCAATTGCAGCTAAGAATTTCAAATGACTAGTTTGCAAATGAGAATCTGCCACCAGTGTAGCTTTTATCCTCAACGCTTTGCTCTTCTGTCCAAATCCATGCGGGAGTTGATGACTTTGAGTACTTGGTCTACAACCCGAATTGTGTCCTTGACAAAGCACAGCAGCTTAAGTACGATTTCGAAGGACACGGTGTTTATGGGATTATGTTTCTTTTTCGTCAGATGTCACCCTTACCTCACATATTTGAACTCATATGTGTAGCATGGGTGAAATCCTCGTTACAGGAGGAGGTTACAGGATAGTCATGTGCTTTAACTCGGTTTTTGATATCTTTGGGCTGTGTTTTAGAAGTGTTGCGTTTGAAGGGCTAAGAATGACCAACTCCTTTAGATATTTTTCCTTTTGCACTCCAAGTAGTATGGAGTATCTCTCAACAGAAGAAGCTCGTGCAGATTCTTTACAATAACAGGGTTGACTTATCAACCCTTATTCCAGACAACTTCGTCGATATGTGGGTAAAAGTCAGAGGCCATTGAGTACAGATCGCTATAGATGAGAGAATCATAACTTCCTTCCTCGCTTCTGATGCGGGAGGTTGATTTGCTCGTGTATTATGCGTGAGCATCGATACTCTGTATAATAAATGTCAGAACATACATATTTTACATTTGCTTATACAGATCCACTTGCTCTTATACAGAAGCACCATGACGTGTTCAAAACTTGAATTTTCCATGAGGTTTTCGGATCTATTGCTTTGCATGAGCTGATTCTTCGATGCTGTCATTCTTTTCCTAGCTTCTGTAGGTTCTACAAAGCTTGATCAATGTGCATGAGGTGGATCTGCTTTGAATCTTGTTGTGGATTTAGTGACCATCAGAAAGAGGGTGCTGCACCAATATTGATGTGGTGAGACATGAGCTGGACTTCCTAGATAATCCTGCTGTGGAGGTTACTTATGACAAGTTTAGAACAGGTATCTGTTTTCAAAATCCTGTATTTGGAGTGGCAACGTATGGATAGAAACGCCACAACTACTAGTGACTCAGAAGCTAGGCTGTAGCTTGACCTGGAGGACAGCTCTTCATAATTTCACACTTGAGACGCAAGAAGGATGATGGCCTTGTTGTGTACAGTACTTCAGATTGGCTCAGGTGGTGACGGAGTCTCCACAATGTTGCTTTGGTAGACTCACGGTCATGACACAATGCTGAAGCCAAAGAAGCTTAAATAATTTAACAAAAGGGAAACTTACTGTATCTGTACGTTTGATTCTGAAGATGGAAAGCTCATTCAATCATAAACCAATGCGCTACAAACCAAAAACAAACAACAAATGGAATCTATCTTAAATTATTTGAAATTATGAATCATATCTTCAATGAGTTGTAAACAATGGCCACCAGCAATTAAATAAAATTTGCAATATTGGTTTTTAATGGATTAAACATGTACATGTGCGATTATGTACATTCTCTGCTAAAACACTGAACATTGATTCTGGTAAAAACTTGCATATAATTTGTTAACAAAATCTTATAGAGTATAGTGTTGCCACCCAAAATTGAACATCATATTCTACAGCAATCAAAACTGAAGGCAAAGTTGCACAAGTGTCACACAAATAAATGCTAACTCTTTTGATTCGATTATTTGACTTTTCTCTAAAATGATGCTTATCAATACCAATGTAATCATGTGGTGTTAAATGGCATCCATTCTTATAAAAACCAAATGTAATCCCTAATTTATTTTTATTTTTTAATTCCTTGCATAATTACAAATTCCATGTTAAATTTATTGAAACATCCATACAAACAAAGTAGCAATTGTCAATTAAAAATTATAAAAAATCATACATAAATACACACGTACATACGTTCATTTTCTTGTGGTTGTTGAAAGCACCAACATTTATCAAGGAAGTGTGACGATGATGTATGTTGTAAGAAACAAGGAACATTATAATCTCGCCCCATTCTCTTGCCATCAACCCAATTCTAATGGTTCATGGAAGAGTGAGAAAAGAGAATCATCATCCATTCCACGTCACACCTTTAATTTTATTTTATTTTCTTTTATTTTTTCTCTATCTATCTCTATATATTTTTCATGAAAAGGACCATATATGGACCCAACTTGTGTAATAATTCTGTTGAATTGGGACGGGAAGAGATAGTCTGACGTGGCATGTTCATGGCCAATGCTTTTTCCTGCACTTAAAAGCGCCAATCATGCCAGATTATTGTGTTGTAGGGAGGGCTGAATGAGGCAGAGGCCGGGCAGCCTGATCGAGGGAATTAAAAAAAACAAGTTGCCCGGGTCCCAGGCTGGGCAGCTAGGGTGGAGGCACACGTGGATGGTACACATCTGGCTCAATCAAGATGCCAGGTCACCCCTCCCTCCTTCCCACCCAAAGCTCCAATAGAAGAACTTCACACATATCCCCCGTCCCCTTACAAAAAAAAAAAAAAAAAAAAAAAAAAAAACACAATAATAATAATAATAAAAAACAGCCCCACAAAACCAAAACCACTCTTATTCCTTTTTTGAAGTTCTCAACCTTTTATTTACAATGTTTGCATGCCAATAGAAGATAAAGTAGCTGTGTGAGAGAATACTACATTGTGAAGCAGAATGGGATGATTTTATGAAGAAGAATAATCAAATGGTTTGGAATAAATTAACTTGGTGTTCTTAAAGTGATTTATCTCATACAGTAAAATTTGTGCATCATTTTTCTTTTGCTATGAACAAAGGATTGCAACATTTCACAAACCTTAAATAGATTTGAAACTTTATTTTACCATTATGCTAAAAAAAGTATTCATAAACATAAAACTTTTGAACACAAAACACACATGTGAATATACATATACATAAACATACATCCATGCACACACAAATTGCAGGAATTTACATAATTATGATTTTAGTAACATAATAACAAAACATTTTAAGGTAGATTATTTTTATATTATTATAAAATAATTGCAGAATTATAATTATTATCATTTTTCATAACTTCAATCTGGAATATCTTTTTATATGCCAAAACATAATGCATTGTTTTCATGACTTATCAACAAAACAAACTCTAAGTAAATTTGAATTGATATCTATCTATAAAAAAGGTAACACACACACATCCAATATCAAAGACTTTGGTCACAAGTTCATCAACCATAATATTTACTAATCAAATTTTCAAACTTTAGATATATTTTAAATCACATATCAAATTCTTCTTTTAAAATCTAATGTAGCCATTATGTGAAAGATATCTTTCACAGCTTAAATAAACAAAACATTAACTATAAAACTCTTCAAAGTAAATCTACAATTAAGAAAGTTAAAAATATATCTTATAATAAATCTTGTAGGTAATTCAAATTCATAAGTTTTGTAATGAAATCTTAAAATGCTTTTTCTCATCTCAAAAGTTAAAAATATTTCTATGATTTATAATAAATAAATTTACTACATATAGATACATCTAAATATTTTTGATTTTATATAAAATATATATATATATATATATATATATTTTTTTATTTTTTTTATATTTTGATTACCATAATAAAATAGAAATCAAATATAATTATTAAAATATATTTTGCTTGCTCTATTATATTAAATATATATGCAAAAATCAAACCAATCAATTGATTGTAATAAAAAATTAAATATTTAAAAAGCAAACTTCTATTGCAAGAAATGCTCCATACTAATTCATTTAAAATCTAAATTTATAAAAGCCAAATTTATATTTCTATTCATTTCAACATTTAATCTAATGTACAATTCTTCATTTAATATTTAACACACATCGACAATTATAATATTTTAATATTTTTCTAAAGAATATTCTTAATATATATATATCAACAATACTTTATATTCAAAAATAAGTATAAAAGATTAAAATAAAAAAATATATATTTACGTTTATTTCTATTTGTTAAAGACAAGAATCTTAAAGATCAAGATACTCTTATATCAGTCAAAAAGACTAGATAATCACTCAAAGATGATATAATACTAAATTAGAATAATTATTATCAAAGACAAGAATACTAGAAAGTTTTTAAACAAGACTAAAGACTACAAAATTATTGAAAAATGTGAATAAGGCTTCAGTCTTGACTCCATATATACAATCTAACTAAGAGCTATCTAGCGACGTTAAAAATAATATTTAAAATAATTAATAATATCACTTTAAAAGAAGATACATTACAATTTTTAAAGTACTTAGGTACCTTTAAGAAAAAAGATAATCCACTTTCTATCAAGAAGGATCAAATTCTGGTATTGATAAGAAGATTGTCTTGATAAACTATTATAGATACATTATATAAGAAATCAAACAAGAAATTGAATAAAATAATTTTAATAAAAAGCTAATAAAAACTTAATTAAAGTATTATAAGATTTAGAAGAATTATTCTTAATATCATATACAAGAAGATTAGAGGATATATGTGATTGTCGTTTCACTTATTCTATAATTCTTTTCAAAATAAACCTACATAGGGGACTTCAAACACAGGGAAAGACTAAATGCATGAGTTTTACTTGTTAGGGTCACACGATTAACCAAATTTTGAACCACTGAAACACCAAGAAATACTACAATGCTTTCTCCGAGTAACAATACTCCTTCATCAATTGATAACAACAGTGTACAACCCTGCACTCTCAAAAGACCGCTCAAAATACATAATTTCCATTCAACACCAAAAATAACAGACTTCATTCTAATATATCTGAATTCACATAATTTCTATAATCACAGACTTCTTCTGTCTAAACACACACAACTCTCAATAAACAACAATCATAATCTTCCAATAACTCCTCATATAATTCAATCACTTAGTATTCCAATTACATAATTAATAACTCAAAAATCAATCTTTGATTTATTTCACAAACTCACTTCTCAGTATTCAAAAACTAGTCATTACATTTCAACGACAAAGAAACAAAGAGGTAGAACCAAGCTTTTCCCAGCTCATGACTATCACAGTCTGGCACTCATACTAACTTCTACAACTCCTCTATACTTAATCCCTATTCCTAGATTCTAACAATAATCCTGTAATTAACCACTTTTAATCATTAAGTTAACCATCTATCTTCCTGAACTGACTACTTTATGGACTCTTAGATTAATTTACCAATATCTCATAAAAACAAACTAATATCTATTCAACAATGTATTCAACTTAATTTCCTTAACAAATATTAAATCAATAGTAAATATTGATTTCATTGCTTGAAGCTAAAAATACTTTAATTTCAAGAAGAAAAAAATTTATTGATGAAAATTTGTATCTCTTTCATTTGGTATAAGATAAAAATATCTAGAAATGACATTCAACAAACCTCATTGTTTTTTGAATCAATATAAAATCTTAAAATCAAATTTTAATAAAAACATGATTTAACCAGCTTGGCAATGATTCAAAACATATATTGCTATAAAATACTTAAGATTCTTATGATCTGTATATATGATAATTAGATAAGAAGAACCTTCTAAATAATGATGTCATTCTTAAAATGAATCCACAATTACAAAAAGCTCTTTGTTGTAGATTTTGTGATTAATGTTGGCTATTGAAAACTTCTTGGAATAGAAAGCTATCAAGTAGAGCTTGTCATTTGCTTCTA